ATATATATATTTAAAGAAGGGTGCATGCCTCCTGAGCAAGAGGATTCAGGAGTTATAATAATTAATATATATTTTTTAATTTATAATGTCAGCTACCCTTAATTATCGTCTGAACCATTTCCTTCTCTCAGAGTGGCATACAGTTACTTCAGACGTCAATCTGAATTCCATGTTTTGCAGACATCATTTGTCTGGTCCCTGTTAAATACATAACAAATGAACAGATATGAGGTAAAGAGGATGTGATTATGACATAAAGCCAGAATGGCAAAGGAGAAGTTTTTCCAAATGGGCATATCCACAAGCCGTGACGAATTCCATCTCGGATATGATGTGAGGTCCAGGATATAAATAACATCCAGGGGAGAAAGCACCATGAGTCTTTGAGCTTGAAAAGGTGCATAGTAAACTTCAAGGTCAGAGCCACGACAGGTATCACGGTAGAACAGTGAAGAAAAGGTCTTCGTGGAAGAGTCAAAGCAGCCTGCAGGGGAAAGTAGCTGGTATCATTTCCCTCTTGGCAAACAAAATTTTGTAGATGCTTCTTAATATTCTAAAATATTTTCCAGGAGTCTATTAGAAATGCAATGGAAACATTTTCTATGTCACCTGTGAATACACATATTCAATCTGGTATGTGTAAAGCAAAGAAGATATAGGTGTGAGTAGGATTATTTCTTTGCGTTAAAAATGGAATCAAGATCTCAAGAACCTGGCCATCAATTTTTTAAAGTTTTCTATTATTTGCTTAGAAAAGTCACAATATGAACATAATTTATATATCAAATGTATGGTTTGTGTAAATTTGGAGTTTTAGAGAATTATCTGGGGCCTCTAACAGCATTGAAAAAAAATCTCACAACCAAATAAAATATTCTTCTATCAATAAAGGCAAGAAAGACATATTTTGTTGTAACCGGTTTATATTGGCCTTGAATATTTTCAGAATGCACTTACAACAACATTTAGAAAGACTGTATTATTTTATTTTATTTTTTTAAGTTTATTTATTTTGAGAGAGAGAGAGAGAGAGAGAGAGAGAGAGAGACCATGAGTGCATGCGCTAGCTGGGGAAGGGCAGAGAGATCATGACCTGAGCTGAAATCAAGAGTCAGATGCTTCACTGCCTGAGCCACCCAGGCTCCTCTCAATTAGATAACTTCGAATGAAAAGGAAGCCGAGGATAGTGAAAATTGCCTAAATCTGAATCTCCCCACACATCCTCAAAAACACTACAGACAAGGACAAATAAAACTATACCAAATCCCACTCGGCATTAGGCAGACGTCAGAGAGCACCTAAAACTTCAAATACTCTAAAGCATTAAGATAAACACCACATCAGCGTGCTCTCTTGCACACCTCCACCGCAAGCCAAGAAGGACGAGGAGACCTAAGATTGATCTAAAATTACTAGAAAGAGAAACACTGAAAAGGGCCCTCATAGATCAGAGCACCGGCTACAAAGCAAAAACTTCAAAGTGTGCGTGATTCAAGGCATTACAAGGAAGGCACTGGTTCTGGGGGAGAAGATGATAAACAGGAAGGGAGAGGAACCCTTTGGGGACGGTCAAGAGGAAAAGGACTAGTGAAAAAAACAACTTAGGTACCTATAAAAAAAAAGTTAGGAGGCATAACCTTCCCACCACACTAAAATACAAGACATCTGTTTAAAAAACTGTACCTTGGGGGTGCCTGCGTGGCTCAGTCGGTTAAGCATCTGACTCTTGATTTCGGCTCGGGTCATGGTCTCCCAGTTCTGTGGCTTCCAACTCCACATTAGGCTCTGTGCTGACAGTGTGGAGCCTACTTGGGATTCTGTCTCCCTCTCTCTCTGCCCCTCCCCTGCTCGCTCTCTCTCTCCTTCTCTCTCAAAATAAATAAATAAACTTAAAAAAGAGAGAGAGACAGACACTATACCTTGCCACCCTGTGAAGTCACACGGCTGGGGGGGTCTCTTAAACGCACTACTTAAACCAGGGTTCTCTACTCCCACAGACTGACTAAACATCAATCAAGGCATTTATGCTACATTCCCCTTCCTTCTCCCCTCTCTACATTTTTAGCTGTTTTATTTCTACTTTGCCGGCACATGTGACATTTCTGTATTGTTACTCAATTCTTGTCTCTACCTTTGTTTTTTGGTTCCATACCCACGCTGTATCGCGCTCCTTAACAGCGGGGTGGGACAAGGGGGCCTGTGGTAGTCCCGACTTGGAAGAAAGCAATAGCCTGAAGTTGACGTGATTAGCAGTTATGCTCTGGATATGTCTGACTCTTCATGCATTCATTTGTGAAGTCTATTTATATTAATAGATGCTAAAGAAATTTCTGTTGCTTGGCTTACTTCTAAAACTTCAATCGAGACTTTTCCTGCATAGATAAATAATGAATAATGGGGGCGCCTGGGTGGCTCAGTTGATTAAGCGTCCGACTTTGGCTCAGGTCATGATCTCATCATCTGTGGGTTTGAGCCTCACATTGGGCTCCATGCTGACAGCTCAGAGCCTGGAGCCTGCTTCGGATTCTGTGTCTCCTTCTCTCTCTGCCCCTTCCTTGCTCACGCTCTCTTTCTCTCTCAAAAATAAATAAACATTAAAAAAAAAGAAAAATAATAAAGAATAAAAGGACATTATCATAAAATTACAGAAGTAAAAATAGATCACTTAAAAAAAGAAGTAACAACAGACATTTAAAAAATAGTATCATAATGGGGTGCCTGGGTGGCTCAGTGGGTTAAGCGTTGGACTTCGGCTCAGGTCATGATCTCACAGTTCATGAGTCTGAGCCCCATGTCGGGCTCTGTGCTGACAGCCAGGAGCCTGGGGCCTGCCTCAGATTCTGTGTCTCGCTCTCTCTCTCTCTGCCCCTCCCCTGCTTGCACTCTGTCACTCTGTTTCTAAAAAAATCAATAAATGTTAAAAAAATTTTTTTAAATAGTATCATAAGTACTTAGTTTTGGTACTTATTACTGATGATCACAAACAGTGTTATGGTTAAAAACGTTCATATTTCATTTTTAAAAAAGGATCAGTACCAGCACTATGCTATACTTTCTATGCACTATCTCCTTTAATCCTTACAACAACTGGATGAGTTAGAGATGGTCTTACAGAGCAGGGAGCCGAGGCTTACAGAGAACAAGTAGCTTCCCCACGTTGTACAAACACTGAGTCTGTCTGACTCTTTGGCTCATATTCTCAACACTACCGCTTCGAAGTGAGTCAAAGAATAAATATAGTAGGTAGCCTAAACGTTTTTAAAAATTACGATAGTTAAATTCTAGGTGAACGCACTTACGAACCACACTTTCTGTGGTTTAGCTTACCCAAATCTCTGCTAACATTTATTGTGAACTATTTACCACGGTGCATCCTGTAACATGCTCTCTTAACACTCAAGACAACCCAACGAGATCAGTAAAGACAGAATCCACATTTTACAGATGAGGGCACTGAGGCTTAAAGAAGGAAGGGGCTCTGCTAACACCACCACATACCGGGATTCAAACTCAGGTCTTCTGATGCCAATCTCAAACGCAGTGTTATTCTGCCTCCATTTATAGCCAAAAAGTTACACTGTGTCTTTAATCAGGAATTAGTGATTCCTAACTGATTAAGTGTTTTCATAAGTGAGACAATCTCTGAGAAGTACCTGGTGTGTGACACATAAAGGAAAAAGTGATCATTTCTCATTCATTCAACAAATATCTACCGAACACCTACTAGGTGAGCCAGGCTGCGTTCCAGGCAGTGGTGAGCAAGAAAAGTCCTTGCTCTGTGGGTCTGTATTTCTTTCCTGAAATATTTACAGGTCATAAACATGTAAAAGGTAGGCAAATCTGATGACACTTAGAAAATATTATCTGAACAGGGGTGCCTGGGTGCCTCTTGATTTTGGCTTAGGTCATGACCCCAGGGTCATGGGATCAAGCCCTGGGTGGGTTCCATGGTGAGCGTGGAGCCTGCTTGAGATTCTCACTCACTCATTCTCTCTCTCTCTTTCTCTCTCTCCTTCTCCTCTGACCCTCTCTCCCGCTCGTGTGCACACTCTCTCTCTCTAAAACGAAAAAAAAAAGCAAAAACAAAATATTGTCTGAACTGTCATTTTAAGCATAGCTCATTTGCAAAGCTAGCAGGTCACTGTATAGCTAAACATCTGAAGCCTCAATGAAATTCCTCAAATTTCGCCACCAGCGACGGTGTCCTAAGGAGTCCCTTGAAATGCACACCTTTGGTTCCAAGAGGGGCTGGGGAATGAATCTACTGAAGTCATTCCCCAGGACTCGGAATCATCTTAAAGCTGCTTCACGGTTACAGAGCACGTAGGAGCTGCATACTAACTGTAAAACATGAAGCGTAAGGGGGAAAATCCTAACTGTGGCCCTGAAGAAAGAACACAGAAAAAAGAACCAGGTTAGCTCCGAGAATGACCCCCATTATTTTAAACCAGTGGGCTGATGCTTCCTTCAAGACTTGGCTAAGCACCGTCCTCGGTAAGGCCAGCACAGAACTCTCTAGGTACATTTAGTGAGTCCTTGCTCTGTATGCATCCTTGGCACTTTGTGAGGCCAAGTAACTTGATTAGCAACATGTCTGTATTCATCTTCAGGAAAGTACTGAGTGCTCAAAAAAATGGGATTGAATGAGCTTTCTTACTTTAAATTTTTTTTTTTAACGTTTATTTATTTTTGAGACAGAGAGAGACAGAGCATGAATGGGGGAGGGGCAGAGAGAGAGGGAGACACAGAACTGGAAGCAGGCTCCAGGCTCTGAGCCGTCAGCCCAGAGCCCGACGCGGGGCTCGAACTCACAGACTGTGAGATCGTGACCTGAGCTGAAGTCGGACGCTTAACCGACTGAGCCACCCAGGCACCCCTGAGCTTTCTTACTTTAAAATAAAGATAACCCCTAGCTCTAAAATGATGCTGTGAAGGTCAATATAATGGTGTTAAAGACCAGAAAAATTAAACATGGATGCCTCTTACCTTTAAAGATAAAGATCCAGCTAGAAAAAAGTGGTCTACATCAATAACAGAGGCTAAAAATCCAGCTAAAATGATTTCTCCAAAGTCAGTTGTCTTCTTGACTCCAATGACAATTGCCCACAACCACATGCCAATCACGCAATGTACTGCATTATCTGAGAGGGCTCGAAGCCAGTCATTTTGCTGAATGATTGAAAACTGAAGAAGTCTGTCAGCTACTAGGCAAAATATTCCCAGACCGAGGCTGGAAAAAAGAGATTCAGTGCTACAAGACTGGAGTAAAGCATGGGTCTTCTCAGCCTCAGATGCCATCACAAATAATACATCAGTATACAGCAAAAGCCATCAGGAGACAAACAGCTTATTCTTGTTTACATTCCCCAGTCACCCTAAAACAGAAAGCAAAGAAAAATATTAATGCCACATAGCATTTAAACAAAACAAAATCAGCAATGATTTCACAAATACAAAATCAAATTGTAGAAAAAAAAATTATTTTAAATGTTTTGTTTATTTTTAAGAGACAGGATGTGAGAGGGGGAGGGGCAGAGAGAGAGGGAGACACAGAATCCGAAGCAGGCTCCAGGCTCTGAGCCGTCAGCACGGAGCCCAATGTGGGGCTCGAACCCATGAGCCGTGAGATCATAACATGAGTTGAAGTCAGATGCTTAACTGACTACGCCACCCAGGCACCCCTGGTATTCTTTTTTTTTTTTTTTAAACCGTTGTCAGTAACTTCATTTTATTTTTCCCAGCTTTATTGAGATATAACTGATATATAACACTGTATAAGGTTAAGGTGTATAATGTGATGATTTCATATACGCATATATTGTGAAATGATTACCACAGTGCGGTTAACATCTCCGTCACCTTGCATAGTTACCTTTTTGTGCGTGTGGCGAGAACATTTAAGACTACTCTGTTAGTAATTTTCAAGTGTAAGAAAATCGTATTTCTTACATGTTATGTACAATATGCCATGTAGCACAAAGAGAATAGGAACACCAGTTTACACGTTAGTATGTATCAAGGGGAATTTAAGAAAGCCCACCAACTGTAATCTATTACTTTGAGGTCATCCATCAGTTCTCTCTCTCAGCCATGTGTGCTACATGGTAGTGGGCATCCGTGTCTGTGTACCCAGCATCTATTTTCCATACTTCTGAAAACAGCATCTCCTTTTAGGAAAAGCGCTCATCGCAAGACCCACTCTGGAGCTGACCAGTTAGAATTCCCTGTCTCTCTTAGTAGTAGTAATTAATTAGTAAGTAGTAATTAGTCATCATTTTCCAGTAGTGATTGGACTAGTGGTGAATACTCTAGTGGTTAAGGTGACCCAGGCTGGGCCAATCAGACTCCCTTCTAGAATTTTCCTAAGTGGAGCTGGTAGGGGAAAGTTACTCTTCTTCTTACAGACCATGGGCTTCACTACCTGGAGCACCCTAAAAACAAAGAACCATAAGGACATCAAGTCCACAGGTCCAGTCTTTTAAGTTTCTCAGAGCTGGCCTCCTTCCTGCAGCTTACTACCTTTTACTTCTAGGAGCTACCCTAGCATTCTTCCAATAAATCCCTTTTTCCTTTCTGTTGCCTCTCACCGAAGAACTTTAATTGATATAAAAAGGCAATCATAATTCTGTGCTTAGTGCTTACCTGGCATAGGATACTGAAATCATTTATACAGTTAAAGTTATCAACATTATGTGATACGTGCAGTTTTTGTTTTATATTGTTCTGTTTTAATTCTGAGGCTAAAGAATAACTAAATGACGTATTAAGAACGATTCAACTTCCATTCTGTCATAAAAACTATACATAGCTCATAATATATATTCCGGAATTTATAAGGAAACATTCCTTGAATCAGAAAACAACTTGGAAAAAGATGAACTAAGTTGAAGGCCTTACACCATCTGATTTCAAGTTTTATAAAACCGCAGTAATTAAGACAGTGTGGTACCGATATAAAGATAGATAAATAGATTGATGAAACGGAATAGAAAGTGGGATCAGAAATAGATCCACCCATATACGGTCAATTGATTTTTAACAAACATGCAAAAGCAAGTAAACGGAGAAAAGACGATCCTTTCACCAAACACTGCTGGAACAACAGGATATCCATACGTAAAAATAATGACCCTCGGTCCATACTTTACTCCATATACAAAAATTAAGTCAAAATGGATTACAGACCTAAAAGTAAGATATAAAACTGTAAAACTCCTGGAAGAAAGCATAGAATATTTTTGTGTCCTTGGACTATGTAAAGAGTTCTTAGAAGCAACATCAAAAGGCCAATCTGTTTTTTAAAAATTGATACACTGAACTTTGTCAAAATTAAGAAGCTCTGCTCTTTGAAAAACATTAAGAGAATGAAACAACAAGCCACAGATTTGGGATAAAATATTTGCGTATCTCGTATTTGATAAAGGATTTCTACCCAGAACAAAGAATTCTCAAAACACAGTAACAGAAAAATAAACGAATACAAAAATGGGCTAAAGATTTGAAAAGGTCCATTACAAAGATAATATATAGTGGTCAACAAGCACATGAAATATGCTCAATGTCATCAATTATTAGGGAAATGCAAATTAAAGCCACAATGAGATACCAGATATACCAATTAGAATGGCTAAAATTAAAGACTTATCATCCCAAATGTTGAAGAGATGTGGAGCAACCAGAACCCTCACACACGGCTGGTGGAAATATAAAATGGTAACCACTTGTCAGTTTCTCCAAAGTTAAACATACTTCGATCATAGTCATTCTCCTCCCACGTATTTACCGGAGAGAAATGCAAGCATACAGACATACAAAGACTTGTACATGAATGTTCACAGCAGCTTTATCTACATTAGCTCCAAACTGGAAACAGCCCAACTGGCTAAACAAAACACGGAATAAAAAGAAATAAAAAAGTAATACATACGAAAACATTGATGAACCTCAAATACTTAGTGAAATAAACCAAACCAAAAAGAAAAGAAAAATGGAGTAATAGTCAAAACCCATGTAACTAGACAACACAAAGAATGAGCCTTGGGGCGCCTGGGTGGCTCAGTCGGTTGAGCGTCCGACTTCGGCTCAGGTCATGATCTCGCTGTCCGTGAGTTCGAGCCCCGCGTTGGGCTCTGTGCTGACAGCTCAGAGCCTGGAGCCTGCTTCGGATTCTGTGTCTCCCTCTCTCTCTGACCCTCCCCCATTCATGCTCTGTCTCTCTCTGTCTCAAAAATAAATAAACATTAAAAAAAAAAACAACAACAACAAACAAAAAACAAAGAATGAGCCTTAATGTCAACTATGGACTTCAATCAATGCACCAATGTTGGTTTATTAATTGTAACAAGTGTGCCACACTAACACAAAATGTTAATAATAGGGAGAAATATGTATGGAGGGAGAGGTAACACATGGAACACTCTGTACTATCTGCTCAATTTTTCTGTAAACCTAAGACTGCTATCAAAAATAAAGTCTTAATTTTTAAAAATGACATAAATAAAGGAAATATGGGAAATTTTATAATTGTTCAATATCGGTAATGGATACCCTGTAGTTCATTATTCTAACCTCCACTTTTCTATATATTTAAAATTTTCATTTAGAGGGGCGCCTGGGTGGCGCAGTCGGTTAAGCGTCTGACTTCAGCCAGGTCACGATCTCGCGGTCCGTGAGTTCGAGCCCGCGTCGGGCTCTGGGCTGATGGCTCAGAGCCTGGAGCCTGTTTCCGATTCTGTGTCTCCCTCTGTCTCTGACCCTCCCCCGTTCATGCTCTGTCTCTCTCTGTCCCCAAAATAAATAAACGTTGAAAAAAAAAAATTTAAAATTTTCATTTAGAAATTTTTTAAAGAATACATAATGATTCCATTTATGTAAAATCCTAGAAAATGCAAATCAACTTAAGTGACAGAAAGCAGATCAGTGGTTGCCTGTGGAAGGGAGGGACTTAGAAGGATTAAAAAGGAACATAAGGAAACTTTGGGGGAAGAGTTATGTTCACTATCTTGATTATGGTAATAGTTTCATGGTTCATAGTCTCATGTATACATCAAAATGAATCAAGGTCAAGAATGCCAGCTTCTCCTGCAGATCACCCACAGCATCAAAACTGGAGTTGGTGAGAAGCCAATGCAGATTCCATTCTGTCCTTGCTCTCCTCCACATTGTTTCCCTTTTTGACTGTCTGCCTAGCTGATCTGCAGCAGCTTCAGGCTCAACAAAAGACTCAGAGGCAAGCGTCTGCCCAGAATGCTCTCCCAGCCCCCACAATTACAGAAGGTCTAACCCCTGTCATAAATCCCACATTTAGCAGGCAAGTAGTTCTTCTTCTTTGATGGACCTAATACAAGATCCAGACCATTTTGTTGAGTAAGAAGACAACATTGATGGTGTTATTCCCTTCCAATGGAATCTATAAATTTAATATACTCCTAATTACAATCAAAAGGGATTTTCTTTTAGGAACTTCATGAAATGTTTCTAAATTTCATTTAGAAGAGCAAATACCGGGTGCCTGGGTGGCTTACTTGTTAAGCATCTGACTTCGACTCAGGTCATGATTTCACAGTTCATGAATTCGAATCCCACTTTGGGTGAGTTTGTGCCCCGCTTCGGGTGAGCTCGAGCCCTGCTTTGTGTGAACACGAGCTCTGCTTCAGGTAAAATAAAGGAGTAAACTTGAAAAAGCAGAGTATCATAAGTACTAAAAGGTGAATACAAAGTCCAGAAACAGATTAAGTGTGTGTATGGGGGAGTGGGGAATGTGTGTAATTCTAAACTGATAGAGGAACACTTATTATTTAACTCAGATCCTGTATCAGTTAGGGTTCCTAAGTGCATGGAAAAGAAAAGAAATGCAAAACACAAAACTTATTAAAAGGATATTGGAGGGGCGCCTGGGTGGCGCAGTCGGTTAAGCGTCCGGCTTCAGCCAGGTCACGATCTCGCGGTCCGTGAGTTCGAGCCCCGCGTCAGGCTCTGGGCTGATGGCTCGGAGCCTGGAGCCTGTTTCCGATTCTGTGTCTCCCTCTCTCTCTGCCCCTCCCCCGTTCATGCTCTGTCTCTCTCTATCCCAAAAATAAATAAAAAAATGTTGAAAAAAAAAAGGATATTGGAAATCACAGACTTGCCAGGTTTTAAGAACCAGGCCTCAAATCTATGCCTCAAGTACCTCAGTGAAAATGACACCAGACAACTGGTCTGGTGACGATCTCCCTACCACTGACCCCAGCTTACACTGCCCAACCCCTGTCACCAGATGTTACCACTGGCATTGGTGTCAAAGCTGCACTGTCTGCTGC